TAACCAGCTTGGAGTTTGCAGTCACATTATAGTCTTTGCTAGAGACAATCTTTGGTGTTCTAAGGAAAAGGCTGCCATGTTGGAGATCCATCATCTCTCCCTTCAATTTGTCTTCCATGACATCAACAAGAGCAAGTTCATCTGCCAAGTCCTAAAAGACATAAAGTTTTTAGTTAAATCAAAACTGCTTCTTCCAAATTTTTAGAAGGGCATGCAAAACTCCCGTATTTCTGGTACAGGAGCAGGGCCCCATTTAAAAGCTGACTCACAGACAACCCATACATAGGAAGAAACACTGACCCTCTCCCCTCACTGGAGCAACCTCTGAAAAAGCCCCACCACCATTATGTGGAAACAGAACAAAGGATTGGCAATGGTTAGAAAAGTGTCCAATTATGTAAAACAGATTGAGTCACTTTTTCAAATGCAGTTTTACATACTGATTTTCGATTATTATTCATTAAATAGGTGATATTGACCAGTATTAAGACTTGAAATTAAAGTGATATTCTGGATCCTTCCCTATCTATATGTTTTCCATATAATAACCAACTCTAACAATATTACATCAAGATTTATGCATTTCAAAATATTGGTAAAAAAAAAAATCCTTTCAATTGAACCTATGAAAGTTCCTAGATGTCCCCCTCAGACCAGGAGCACCAATAATAGTTTTAATACAAATGGGATGTGGGCTGTCATAACCAAAGAGGATTATATTGAGGTACAGAGCTACTCCCATCTACAGTATGATGAGTGGCCTAGCAGTTACTCTTACCCACACCTGAATTAGAGGGCATCACAGAAGCCCACAGGTGGTGTGGGAAATACAGATGGCACCAATTTCTGATTCAGTGGGGGAAAGAATAAGAGTTGTTATACTTTATGGCCTCTCCTAAGAGCACATATAGAGCAACCTGTGTTTTTCTGCAACTTCTGCATAGCTCATTTCTGCTTTCAGTCTTCTCACTTTAATTCTTTTCTGTTCATAAGCCAGAATTCATTATTTCACTCTCTTATTAGGAACTCTAAATCTAAACTTAAAATATTTAAACATTGTAAGCTGCCTCAATTTCTTTATATAAACCAGGCTTAATGACTGTAAAAAAGTTTTCTTTATTCATTCATGAGTCCTCTTTTTCTAATTAAAACTTTAGCTCCGTTATTGGTACCAAAATTGCTATCCAAGGAGGGGGGCAACCAGGATTTACAAGGGAGGAAGACTTAAGATTTCCCACATTCAGTATGATTTTTGGTGTATCAGATGAACATAGTATCACTTCAATTCAAAAATCACTTTAAAATAATTTTAGCTTGTTTAAAGGCATGGACTCTTTCATTTGTTGGCAACTCATACATGTTAATACAGCACAATGAATTTAAGGAACTGGGTTGCCAGCCTAATAACCTTTCCGTTTTTGTTTTTTTTTAGTTCAGAAGCCCTTTTGGTATAGCATCATCTTCACATCTCTGCTTCATATAAAGTTCTTTGAATGAGTACATGAACCTCAATATTTGTATATAGAATGTGATAATGCAAGTATTGGGGAGGGAGTGGAAGGATGGGTGGGATCAAGTTATCCTTGGTTCCAGAGTGACAATGGGCTCTCACTTACCTTCATTAAGATACTGATGGCACAGGCCATGCCAACAGCACCAACCCCAACAACTGTAATCTTATTCTGGGGGCTTTGTTCTTCCTTAAGAAGATTCAAAATCAGCTGATCCTTGACAGTCGTCATATTGGATTTAGAACCAAAAGGAATCTATATGGGAAAAAATATGCAGTCATGGCATCCTCTTTAAATTAACACTTATTAACCAAAAGCTGTTCTTAAAAAAACTTATTTCACTTCCTTTTGGCGTACCTGCCATAAAAATCACAAGGGTTAACTAAAAGGGAGAGGGGGAAATACCCACAGATAGCCAAAGGAGAGTTGAAAAGCCTAATGCCAGGGTCTGATCTAGCTAGGATATTGGTGTGACGGACCTCACCTTGGCATGGAAAAATAATATTGACGTTTGGGTGTAAGTATAGCCTCCCGATGGCTCACTCATCTTCTTTATTAATCCCAAGCAGGGCCAGCCTTTCCTCAAACAAAATCACTGTGAGCCGTCTAGTCTAGTCACCTGGCTCCTGACAAGCCCCTCAAGTGAGGACGCGAGTTACGTGCAGAGCGCAATTAACCGCCTCACCGCCAACCCGGACGCAGTGGGCAGGCAGTGAGCTCTGCTCATGCGCGCTCAGTCATTTCCCCCAACCCCTGAAGAGGGGAAGATCAGAACTACTCAGTCCCCAGGAGCCCTCGGGGTTTACACCCCGCCCAGAACCGAAAGGTTAGCAGCCGCCCCCGCCCCCTCCAGCGAAATTTGCGCGCATGCGCACTTCAGAGCTCCGAGAGCGGCCAGGAGAGGTCTAGCGGCCACAGGCTGCAGCGAGGTGGACACTGGCCCCGCCCATGAGCGGAGATGATCAGGAACTATCCTGCTCTTAGGGTGAGAGGGGGCGAGCTCTCTGGGTCAGAGTTTAGACCTAACTTGCATGTGCTTCGAAGCAGATGTGAGCCACGTGAAGCGCGGCTGGCAGCCTCTCTGGCCTGGCGCACGGCCAGAGCCAGACTTTAAATTGCAATACCTGAGACTGTTAACCAACCGGGAGGGAGGAGCCTGGTGTGGCTTCTGCTGTGATCCTTTTTTCAAAGGCATGAGGCCTGGTATGAGGAAATTTTTACAGTACAGGAAGTGCAGAAATTGCTGCAGAGGCCTGAGGCCTGGAACCCTAATATTAAGATACTTGGTGGAACCCTCGATTTCCAGAGCCGGGAAAGAGGCCAGCCTTAGACTCTTGCTAATCCAACTCCGCACTGCATTCACTGGATCTAGTTTTGACACCATCCCAAAGGGCAAAAATATCCGAGGGGGACTTCCAGGCAGGCAGCCCAGAGTCGCCAAGCTGGACTCAGGTCTCTCCTTACAAATCACTACTATTTCTAGACAGCCTTGTAAGGCTTTTGAAGCCTAGCAGGGGGAAGGGAGAAGTTCTTCCTGCAGAGACCTCCTGGCTTCACCAACACCTAAGGCCTGAGCTCCAGCGCTCCCTCCAATATGGAGACACCGGTAGGACAGCAGCCCTGCAGAAAGAGGGTCTGCTCCGCAACTCTGCCATCCACTGTGACCTTAGAAATGTCCTAACCCTCTCCCAGCTTTAGGTCCCCCCATTTATCAAAAGGAAGAGACGGTACCAGATGATCCTACTCTCAATAGACGGTCTGAGATACGGGAGGGCCTCATTTTTGCATGCACCTTAACATAGTGCCCGATAGATATATCAGTAGCTGCTTAATAAAAGTAGTTAACGCAGAGAGCACCCTATAATCTGCCGGCAGCGGCCGCTTCCATGGACCCCACCTCTCGAAAGTCCCAGGGTTAAAATGTGACCGGGGAAGGCGATGCTCAGCGGCTTTCCTGCTTCCAGGAACCCGCCCAGGCTGCCGAGGCTTTTTCTGCTCTGCGGGTTCCGGGATCTCGCGTTCTGCGCCTTTGGCCGAGTTCCAGCCCAGAGGTATGTCCCACCCTCCAGACCCGCCATCTCCTTGTCCTTCTGTATCCACTCGGGATATTGACCCCAGGTTGGGTGCGGCCACCTCCTCGGTTCCCCAGCCGGGCCAGAGGCCACAGTGACCACTTAAAGCAAAAGCAGAGCGTGGCAGGCTCCGCGCCCACGGTTGGCGTGGGCCACCGCCCAGACCTCCCGACTATGTCTCTGGGAAGCAGTGCCTACAACCCCAGGAAGTAGGGACCCCTTGGCAGGCAGCGCCGGGCCAGATAGGCCCGGGCCAGCTCCCTCGCCTGCCCCCTCAAGCGCAGAGCGCGCCAAGCCCTACATACCAGTAGTGCACGGAGAGTGAGCGGGCGTCTGTGGCGCGCAGCGTTGGATCCGGACTTGGCGGCAGCAGCACCGGGACTCGGAGCCCAGCACAGGAGGGGCCTTAAATGGAATCGTGAGGCTGACGTCAGGGGGGAGCTGGGCGGACGTGCGGGATCCCACGTGTGGGTCGGGCTGGGGGCGGGAACCCAGCCGGGCGGGGCAATGGAGAGAGGCCCAGGCGGCGCGCGCAGCCAGAAGACCCACAAGCGGAACTACCCTCGTGCTCCAGGACAGCTAAGGGACCGCCCAGAGCCACTCTACCCTCCGACCTCAAAAGCCCGGGCAAGAGCCACCAGCGCGGTCTTCAAGCCGACCACCAATTTCCTTTTCCGTAAAAATGTGGAGGTTCCCCTCAGGGAAGGAGTGCTCTGATTCTTCACCACTATTTCCCAGTGCCCAGAACATCTGGCACATAGTAGTCAACAACTATTTGTTGAAAGAAAGAAAATGCCTAACAGTGTCAGACTGCCCTTCTTACCCAAGTGGAGTGGTGTCCAACACTTGACGCTGCTTTTCCTCCTGCTGCTAAACCTTCCAAGTCCCGCAGCTCCTAGTGAGGCCTCAGCCTGTCTGGTCTGCCCTCCTTACTGCCCCACCCTGCCCAGCACCTCATGTCCTAGCCACACCCAAGAACTTGGGGGGGGGGGTTCGTTTTTATCAACATATGTTATTTTTACCTTCGCTCCAAGCCTTTGCTCATGCTGGTTCCTTTGGCCTGTCTTCCTCCTCCATCTCTTCTTTAAACTACCAATCTCTTGGTACTCACCCTAACCTCCCCACCCCACACACCCACAGAGTTGGTACCTCTCTCCTGTTTTCACACCTCACTGGTCTGTACATCCTTCAAACCTTCTTGCTTGCGGGTGGGGAGTGGCACTCGCTCCCTTGCTCCCCTACCTGACAGTGAGTCAACAACATGGATGAGTCTACTTTCTCCCTGCACCTGGGGCATCACCTTAGCATCCAGGTCGAACAAAGATCATAATTGTGGGTTTCTTGGTTTTGAAGGGAAAATTCTAACCTCAGCTCCAGAAAAGCGGGGCATCTCTCTATCATGTCCTAACAGTTTTCTCATCACTCTAGAAGGCCCAGAAACGTAAGCTATCACCTCAAACACACAGTTGGCAGGGTTCCCTCACCGCATGGCAGATTGCAACAGTGTTTGGTTCCCCAGCCTTTGCAGCCATGTCCTCATTCAGTTAAGGCTGGGCTCTTGCCTGCCTACCAAATACCACCACAGCTGCGGGCAGGAGGGCAGAGCTCAGAAAGCGGAGGTTAGGCCAGGGAGACCCTCACCAGGTAAGAACCCTCACCAGGAGGGCTCTGGGATGACCTCTAAAGATAATCTAGGCAAGGAGTTTGCTGTCCCCTAAATTAAGGCACCTAACAACAGCTCACTCCAAGCACATCTTCCCTTTTCTCAAGCAGAACAATAGCCTCTATTTAACTCTGCAAATATGAACAAAACAATTACCATTTGCTGAGTACCTCCTCTGTTAGGCAGCAAGCGAGGCAATCCCTATGCTCATCTTCACTTCTCATTCTTTGGAGTGGGCATAATTATCCACGGAAGCTCAGAGAGATTAGTGACTTGGCCACTGTCATACAGCTAAAAAGTGATTTCAGCTGGTACTTTAACCCAGGGCTGACTTGACTCCAGAGCCTGTGATTTTTTCTCCATAGGGCATTGTCCCTTCCCCATTCCTTAACCTCCACTCCACAAAGGTCAAGAAATTATGTAGAGGGCTCAAGCCAGTCCCAGGCTCAGAAAGTTCAGTTTTCAGTGAGAGGCAGTGGATGTCTCTGCCTGTTGCTCGAGCTGAGACATTGCTCTTCCCTGGTCCTCAGACTGGGACTCACACCATCGGCACTCCTGCTTCTCACACCTTTGGACTTGGACCAGAATTTATGCCACCTGCTTTCCAAGGTCTCCTTGTAGATGACAGATCGTGGGACTTCTCAGCCTCCATAATCTCATGAGCCAATTCTTCATATTAAATCTCATTACACACACACACACACACACACACACACACACACAGTTTCTCTGAAGAACCCTGACTAATACGGTCCAAACAGAAGAATTTCTATACGAAAGCCAGATCAGAGAGAAGGTGGAACCCGTGGAATGGGTCAGGAAACAGTTTCAGAGGGCAGAACAGACTTCTCAACCTGATCGAGTGTTCTTTGGGAGTGGCTCTTTAAAAGAGAAAATCTCACCAAGAAGTGGTTTGACCAGGGGACAGTTTGGCCTCAGAGAATGGGTGCTGCTCAGCCCCCAACACAGATTTTCCTAAAATGGACCTGGCCAAAGAATGATGTCCACCCAAAACACAATGCTGAGTCGTTCCTCCATTCACTATTTGTTACATTCCTCAAGAGCATTCAGTGGCTCCTCATTCAATAGTCTCCAGAATAATTTCCAAATTCCTTGGAAAGGCACACCAGGCCCTCCATGATCCAGTGCCCACACCTCCACTCTGGGCTTATCACCTGTTTTCCTTCGTGTTTCCTATATGCCAGTCCCAATGCTATTTACCATGTTCCCCAAATGTGCCATGCACATCCACTTCGGCAGTTCCTTCAACCCGAATGTTCTCCCCCTTGCCACCATCTCTGCCCACTCAAAACCCACATCTTCATAGGTCAAATGCTATTCCTTGGGCTTTATATTAATTCTTATTGCTGTGCATCTCTTTCTCACACTGGACTGTAAGTTCCTAATGGACAGAAACTTTCTCATTCATCTCCATATCCCCAACATATACATTTATTTGTTTAATAAATGTACTTTGAAGTATATGCATGCTATATAAAGGGTGCCATGCTAGGTACAAAAACAAGACAAATTAATAAGCCTTCGAAGACTTACCATTTAGTGGGGGGAGATCAACAGCATCCCCTACGATAGCTAAACTGCAAGATAGACTAACACTGCCACAAAAGAGGTAGAAAAATCGCTCTAGCATTCAGAGAGAGAGGTCTTTTGGCTGGCGATATCAGCGAAGGCTTCCTGGAAGAGGTGGCATCTGGGCGTGGCCTAGAAAAAGACTTCAGCTGAAGATGGTGAACAACAGCTCGACCTGTTGCTGGGCTGCCGTGAGCCACTGTGAGCGGCCGTCCAATGGCCGGCAACTGACTGCCTCAGCCGGGAAGAGCACAATGATAATACCAACATGGGCCAGTGAAGTGACATCCTCCACAACTAGACTGAAGAACAAAAGGACAGCAACTTGTCTGTTCCCCTTCCCTGATTTCCCAATGCTGTTCTCCTCCCCCAATTCCCCAATAAAATCTTAAAAACAAAAAACAAAAAAGACTTCAGCTGGTGAAGATTGGTGTTGAGAAAGCAGAGAACACAGCATAAGTAAAGAAATGTATGGCAGCAGGAAATTCAAGATGTTCAATCTTTAGCTTTAAATACCAAGCTAAGAAATTTGGAGGTTTTGTTTTTTGGTGGCCAGTGGAAATCCCTGAAATTTTGGGGGATGAGGAGAGCCAGGGTAAAAGCAAGGTGGATGAGAGGCCATGGGAAAGGGAGTCACCTTGATTTTTAATAATACGCAACAAGAAGCTCAGCGCGTATACAGCTCCAACCGCATCTGCACAAAACATGCATTCCTCTGACATGTCCTACACAGCCCCGAAGTCCCTCTGAACACTCACTGACAGCCTGGCTTTTTCACCTTTTCCATGGTTGCAAAGCTGATGGCTTTCCTGAGTTGCAAGGCCCAGGATGCAGATGGCCTCATCGGTCTCAGTCCCTCATCAGCCAGGGCCTGCTGTGTACGTGCCAAAGCAGAGGTTGTTCCTCTCTCTGGCAAGACAGCAGGTGCCTCCCCTGGGAGACTGCTTCATGTCATCCCCCCAACCCCATCCATCTCTCTCACACGATGGGAGTGGAAGCCGAAGACTCCACCCCAGCTCCGACTCCTCAAGTTCTCCTGGGTGCCAGCTCGGCTGGTACCCTGATGCCTCCCCCAGTCATTCTCTTCCAGAACTGTGAGGAATAAGTTTCTGCTGTTTAAAAGCCATCGAACTTATGGCATTTTGTTCTAACAATCCAAATGGACTACGGTTACTCTTCCAGCCCCTTCCCACCCCAGGGAAGAAATAAGAGCTGTGCTCTTTTCTCTTCATCCTTCCTGGGCAGGGGCTCAAGCCTCAAGCTTTCCATCACATTGATAGGTTCCAAGGCAAAGGCTGTCACCAGAATATAAGTGACTTCCAAACTGAGGGTGCCCAAAATCAGTGCTGCAGAGGGAGTCCAAAGGTCTCTCCAAGCCAGACAATCTCCAGAGGAACAGAAAGTGCCCCTTATCTAATCACAGCAGGGGAGGACTGTGGGAGGCTGTTTAACACACACACACACACACACACACACACACACACACACACACACACACACACACACACACACACACACACCCGACTCCTTAGGTAGGAAGGACAGTGACAGGCGGGGCTTAGCAAAGATGAGTGAGCACCTGGTGGAGAAGAGACACTGACCTAAGGGTGAGGATACCTGGGTTCTTGCTCTAGCTTTGTCATGCACCTCTGGGTGACACTTTGGCGGTGACGTTCCCTCTGTAGCCTCAGCGTCCTTGACTGTAAACATGGGGGTCTCTGTCTTCCAGTTATAACACCCAGGGAGTCAAGCCTCCATAGACACCTTCATTTTTACAATAGCTCAGGAGGACTCAGGGGCAAAACTGCTCCCAGTCCCCTTTTGGGGAAGTGATTAGGGCTGCTCCTGACATAGAGGCAGAGAGTCAAGGGAACCTGCCCCACCTGGTGCGACAGGACATCCATAACTAGCATTCCCTATGTTAGTTCCAAACTAGGTCCAAAATTCCCAAGGCACTGTGGTGTTGAATTTGTTAATAAAAACAGTCTCACAGGGCTTTGAAAGCAGATGACTGATCAGGGGATCCCATCTCTCTGATTCCTGTGTAGATGGTTTTAAACTTTTAAGCCTTACCAAATGGGGAATTACATCCCAAGCCTTAGGTTAAAAAAGGGTAATTTCCTAAAAATTCCAAGAGGATCAAAGCAATTGT